CACGCGTAGTCCTCCTCGTAGATGTCGGTGTCCACGGTGCAGATCAGCACAACGTACGGTGACCCGACCTCAGCCGGAACTCTCGCCCGACGCCCCAAGATCAGCCGCTGGTGCCACAATGGCTCGCCGTCGTAGCGAACCCAAGCCCATTGCTGCATCTCCGGCGCTGCCGCCACTGCTGGGGCCACGATCGCCGCCGCCATCATGACGACGCTTGCAGGTCAGCCACGCGCCGCCCCACCAGACGTACACGTACCAGCCAATGAGGCCCAGGAACAGCAGCTCGTTCACCAGCACGACCAGCCAGAAGGAGGACGCCGCGATGTCGGCCCCAGCCTCCTGCTCTGCCGGCGGCGCCGGGTTGGCAGGCGCTGGCCGTCCTCCCGGGCACGCCGGGCAGCCGGGGCACGGCGGGCAGGCCGCACACCCAGGGAACGCCGGACACGCCGGGATCGTGATCGAAGGGCAGCGCTGCAAATTGCCGCCCCAGAGATATGCAAGAGCCCCCTGCCACGCGTATTGGGCTGCGGGCCAGAGGAAATCCATTCGCACTGCCTGGATGCGAATTCTTGAGCCCAAAAACCCACGGAAGCGATTAGCATCGACGGCCTGACCTCTAGACCGATGGGGAAAGACATGCACGCAAAGGATAGAAGGAGCTGTACGAGATGGGCGACTACAAGACGGCAAAGCACATTGGGGATAAACAGACAACGTACCTCAAGGCGCTGGATTTCGCGGACAACTGGAGCGACAACATGCAGCTGTTCAACGCGTGCAGGAGGAACACAAGATGGGACAAAACAAAGGACATCGCCTGCTCGCGCGGACGTGTCTTCCCAAACAAGGTGTGGCGGCAAGGCCCAAACCCCAATACAACGGGGAACCAGTGGAAATTCTGATGCAAAATTGACTGGATGCAGCTGGTGACGGCGCCGGGTAACCATCCAGAAAACAAGCTCCTGAAAAAGTGGGTGGGCAAAATGAAGGACGACGTCGGCAAAAACAACGCGTAGAGTCCCGACATCAGGTGCAACGATGTTCCACCAGTACAAGAGGGGGCCTGCAATGGTGGTGGAGCTCAAGGTAGGAGAAAAGTGGGAAACGTTCGTAGCGGACAGGCTGCCGCAGAAGCTAGACGACGCCATCAAGGAGCACCATTACAAGTTCTACGACGCCGCCCGGAAGATGAGCCCAGAGGAGCTGCTCGAACTGATCCCAATGTCCTTCCCGATGACACACAAGGTCGAGGGCTGCGCGCTTATCGCAAGGTGCCCCGTGGACGCGTGGAAAGGAGCTGGGAGGAAAGCCTTCACTACGCAAAGCTGGCGCGAGTTGGCGCTGAAGATATCGAAGAACGACGAGGAGAACCTTTACAGCGTCCTGAGGGTTGCTTTGGAGGAGATGGCGAACGAAAACACACTCGACCCAGATGTGAAAAGGCTCAAAGAGCGTCAGCAGCTACGAGGCAGCACGAAGACTCTGCTGGATGGCACCGAGATCTTCAAAAAGTACGCCAAGTCGGAGGGGGCGGCCAGCTCCAGCGGCCGCAAGTGAGAGATCCCTCTGGAAACGCCGAGAGGTGCATTAACGAGGATCTCTCGGAGTGCGACTTTAGGCAGGCAGGACGGGCAGACTCAGTGGGACAATCACCAGCGGGGACATTTCGGCGTGAGGACCCTCAAGAGAGCGTTCGCACAAACAACGTCTTGGAAAATGATTTTTTCGAGCGCCGACGGTACTCAATTGCAGGGAGTGGGGAGGGAAAACATGTGAACCCCGAAGGCCACCAGAGCGCATCCTCGAGGGCCCCACAGAAACAGGAGGACTGGAGGAAAAAATGTAAACCAACCTCCAACATGCCATGACTATCAGCATTCTCTCCCCCTATATACACTTCAAGGGGGCACAGTGGGACACTACTGCAGGGTAGCAGGGTACAGACACGACAACGCATGGGGCAACCATCGGCCAGTACGCTCTGGAAGAGAAGTGAGACGAGAGAGAGGGGACAGAGTAGGATAGCATAAAACCAATAGGATAATTAGGCCCCCAGCAAAAGTTTGGAGAACTTGGACCCCCCTATTCTCCTCTTGCGGGGTCGCGTCGTCGTCTCGTCCCCCCTCGCTTGGGAGCCCTGCTCGCCTGGCGCGTCCCCAATTCCACGGGCACGCGAGAAGGCCGACAGCTGCTCCCCCGCACTGACCCGCAGGGATTCGTACTCACAAGGTAGCGAGCCTCTCTTACGGGGCCACCTCGACACTTGCCTCTTGAGGTTTCGAGGTATGCCCCCTGCCGGCCCTATTGAGAAGTCAGGGCTGTTGCACAACCAAATCGCAAGGAATTTTGCCAGACGCGCGCAAGGCACCAGTGTAGGTGTGTTGACGTTGACACCCTTATGCGGATGTCCTGTCCTGACCTTCCCACTCCCCCAACCCTCCTTGATATTCAAATCCCTCCTCCCCTTCCCCCTCCCCCTACCCCTCCTCCTACTCCTCCTCCTCCTCCTCCTTGTTGTTGTTGTTCTCTTGGGCTCTTGGGGCCTCCTGAGCGCTCTGTGCTTGAATACATATACGTAGCACCCCGCAATTGCGGATAAGAGTGAGGGGGCGGGCGCGGGCGACGCGGGCGTCGTCGAGCCGGCGGACCTCGTGGCCCCCACCTTCCTTGTCGATGGCGCTCTCCTTCTCCTCCTCCTCCTCCTCCTCCTCCTCCTCCTCCTCCTCCTCCTCCTCATCTTCCTCGTCCTCGTCCTCATCGTCATCGTCATCGTCATCCTCCTCCTCCACCTCGTCCTCCTCCTCCTCCTCCTCTTCTTCCTCGTCCTCCCTCTCCTCGTCCTTTCATCATCGTCCTCCCATTGTCGTCCTCCCCCTAATCGGCCTCCATCATCGTCCTCCCATTGTCGTCCATCATCCTCCTCCTCCTCCTCCTCCTCCTCCCCCTCCTCGTCCTCCTCCTCCCCCTCCTCCCCCTTCTCGTCCTCCTGCTCCTCCTCCTTTCCGTTCTCCACATTATCCTTGCATCCTCTCCTCTCTTCTTCCGCGTTCTCCTCGTCTCCTGTTTATTCCTCCTGCCCCCCCTCCTTTCCCAAGATAACTGCAACGCATTTTTTTTTGTCCACTTTATGCTCCCCGCCTTCTTTGATAAAGGCAACCCGCCAGGGCAGAGTTGCTGGACGGGCTGGTGTGGATGCGCGGGGCTTGAAGAGGTCCTTGCGGGTTCAGACGGCATGCAAAAATCCGCCGCCGCGCTTGTGCGGCATTGGTTTGTTCAGTGAACGTGGTTTGAGTCGCGGGTGGGTCGCGGGCTCTCCACCTCCACCTGGAAGGAATGCAAAAGCAGCCCGCCGCAGGCGCCCCAAAAAATGATTTGTACACTGAACGTGGTTTGGGTCGCGGGTGGGCCGCGGGTTCTCCACCGGGAACGAATGCAACAGTTGCCCGCCGCAGGCGCCGAAAAATGTGGTTTGTACCCTGAACGTGGTCGCGGGTGGGCAGCGGGCTCTCCACCTGAAACGAATGCAAAAGATGCCCGCCGCAGGCGCCGAAAAATGTGGTTTGTACCCTGAACGTGGTTTGGGTCGCGGGTTGGTCGCGAGTTGGTCACGGGGTGGGTCGCGGGCTCTCCACCTGGAAGGAATGCAAAAAAAGCCCGCCGCAGGCGCCGAAAATGGTGGTTTGTACCTTGAACGTGGTTTGGGTCGCGGGTGGGTCACGGGTGGGTCGCGGGGTGGGTCGCGGATGGGTCGCGGGTGGGTCGCGGGTGGGTCGCGGGTGGGTCGCGGGTGGGTCGCGGGGTGGGTCGCGGGCGGGTCGCGGGGTGGGTCGCGGGGTGGGTCGCGGGGTTGGTCGCGGGGTGGGTCGCGGGGTGGGTCGCGGGGTGGGTCGCGGGTGGGTCTCGGGTGGGTCGCGGGTGGGTCGCGGGGTGGGTCGCGGGGTGGGTCGCGGGGTGGGTCGCGGGGCGGGTTGCGGGTGGGACGACGACAACAAACAACAACAACAACAAACAACAACAAACAACAACAACAACAAACAACAACAACGAGAATCCGCACCGCAGAGTTCCACTTCAGCCACGCACCCAGGGACAGTGAATGACCGTTCGGCCCCCTCACTCTGATATATACATATATGTATATATATATATATATATATATATTTATATATGTTTATTTTGGATTCAAAGCCTGGTGTGTTTTTCGTGCCCGATTTAGGGTGGTCCCCCTTCCTCCAGCGCGCAAGGATGACACCTTCGTGTTTGTTGAAAGTCCGTGCTGCCGAATCCTTCTTTCCTCATCCCCGTTTTGCCCCGACACTTCAGCCTGTCGTCTTCAAAACGTCGCAATCAGCTGTGAAAAGGGGGTGGGTGGGAGCACTGTGCCGCCAGGCCACGCGTGACTCTGTCTGAAGGTAGGGTCATGGCGCACTCTAGACGTGATTGTCAATCGTTCCGAAAGGTGTAGCTCTGCCAATTGATCGGTAAGTGGGCGATAATCCGTGCTGGCGCACTTCTGTAGAGTCGTTTGTCCGTTCGTCCTCCTCCTCCTCATCATCATCATCTTTCCTCCTCGTTCCACCAGTGGTTTTCGAGATGTCTCTCGCCGTATCGCCGCGCACAGTCGTCGTCAAAGCGCGCAACAACTAATGGAGGACGCGTGCCACACTGACGACAACATTGCCGACGACGACGACGACGACGACGCCGACCACAACCACAACCACGACCACGACCACGACCACGACGACCACGACGACCACGACGACCACGACGACGACGATGACGACGACTACGACGACGATGACGACGACGACTACGACGACGATGACGACGACGACGATGACGATGATGACGACGACGACGACGACAACGACGACAATGACGACGACGGCGGCGGCGGCGGTGGCCGGTGGCGGCGGCGGCGGCGGCGACGGCGACGGCGGCGGCGAGGACGAGGACGAGGACGAGGGCGAGGGGGGAGTCGGAGGTGCAGGAGGCGCCTCCATGGAGCCCCACCCAACGATCTTCACCTGGAGGGGGGGCTGGCACGACAAGTCACTTCCGCCGAAGCTGCCGTCTTCATTATCGTCGTCGTCGTCGGCATTGTCCTCCTCCTCCTCCTCCTCCTCCTCCTCCTCCTCCTCCTCGTCGCCACCCGCGTCGCTTCAACATGAAACAGAAATCAAGACGAAACAACCTCGGAAAAGGGTCCTCAAGAACAGGGGGATAAAAAATAGCCACCTGGGGAAAAGATATTCCGTTTTCTCAAAAAAAATCCGACGGAAAGAAGACCAAACAACCCAAGGACAAAACCAGCAACCTGGGCAAGGCCCCTTCCGCCTTTTCAGAACCAGCCACGAGACAAGGCCAAGCAACCAAGGGAAGGCCCCTTCAGAAACAGCCACCAAACAAGGCTAAGCAGCAACGCGGCGAACACCTCTTGAAACAAAAATACGGGGGACAGTATTTACCAAACATCCCCTGGAAGGACTTTCCAAAAACACGCACAGAGGAAACATCACCAAGCAACCCTGGGCAATGAAGGCCAACCAAGCATCCCACCCACCCGCCCTTCACAAACAAATCTTGTTATATATATATATATATATATATATATCGATTCAAGAAAAATCTGAGGTGACAAAAACATTGAACGAAAATTTCCCTACTTTTCGGCCCGGAAACTGAAACGAATCCAGGACGACGACAAACTCGGATGACAATGAAACGAAGATCTCGGAGATCCGGCTGCTTTCAAGGATGGATGTATGGGGCGCCGCGGCCTTCCCAGAGCGTTCTGGAACGCTCTAAGGGCGTTCTGGAACGATCTGGGAAACTTCATCGTTGTCCCAGCCCCGCCCGAAGGGCCCTCTCACCAGACCCGGGGACCATTAAAATACAAATTCGGATGAGAAGCTGGTCCCATGCATGGAATCCAGACCTCTGGGGGGGGGGCACGTTGCGAAGCAAATCGCGACGTCAGACGACGGATGCAAAAGGGGGCCACAGAAGGGGTGATACATCTAGCCGTGCACCGGGCATCCGAAGGGGCGCAAAACTCCTCGGAGGGCACATGGCGCAAACGAGCTTGAGCACAGAGGCCCCAAGAGATACCCATAAACCCTAACAACGATGGGAGGTAACGCTCAAAAGTATGGACCCTCTGACATCCAAAGGGCGCAGTGTATTGAATTGATGTCCGAGAAACCTGTGCTTCAAATGATGCCGAACGCGCAACTGATCAAATCACCCAATACACAACTGCGCGCTGAAGGGCATCTCGAACGGAGAACAATGAAAGGAGGGGGGGAGAAGGTGGGGAGGAGGAGGACCACGACAAGACAAAACACATACTACACAACAATCACAATATCTGAACCAAACTCCTCCGATCGCGGCAAGAAGCTGGCGCCCTCTTACCACTGCTCCGATACTCTCGCGACGCCAGGACAATCGAGGCGTAAGAGTTTTCACGTCCTCGGCCCGCTTTAGCCCTCGCCAAGCCCCGGGGCTGTGACACAAACTCAGGATGATAAAACAGTCGTTCAGTTCCTCCCCCCCCTGTTCCCCCCTGTCCTCCTCCTCATACCCCCCGTCCTCCTCCTCCTCCTCCTCCTCCTCCTCCTCCTCCTCCCCCTCCTCCTCCTCCTCCTCCTCCTCCTCCTCCTCCTCCCTCCTCCTCCTCCTCCTCCTCCCTCCTCCTCCTCTTCCTCCTCCTCCTCCTCCTCCTCCTCGTCCGCCTCGTCATCCCCGTCATCCTCGCCATCCTCCTCCTCCTCCCCCCTCCCTCCTCCTCCTCCTCCTCCTCCTCCTCCTCCTCCTCCTCCTCCTCCTCCTCCTCCTCCTCCTCCTCCTCCTCCTCTCCTCCTCCTCCTCCTCCTCCCCCCCCCCCACTCCGAGCGGCGAGCGCGTCTGTCCGCGCGCCCGAGCACTTTGATCGGGAGAGGGCGCAAGCCCCAACCCCGGTACCAGCGCACACCTCAGCGGCGACTGGTCCTGGAGCGGTGGGTCGCGCCCGCCGGGGCCCATGAATTCCGATGCAAGGGGCCGCCGCGGAGAACGCGACGACGGCGTGGAGCGCCGCGTCCTGCGGCCCCACCGCCGGGCGCCTTCCGGTCTCCGGCGCGTCGCCTCGCCCGCGCGCGCCCAGTCCCTGCGCTGGCGCGCGCGCGCGGCCGCGCCTGCGTGGCCGAAGGGACCGCGTCCGCGGCGCGCCGCTGCAGCACGCCCCCCAGACTCTGGTAGAGCTGCCGGATGGCAGCGAACCGCGCCGCGCATCCCGCGGGCGCGACCTGCCGGGCGAGGGCAGCCGCTTCCTCGCAGAATCTCCCGCGGTCTTCAAAGACGAACGGGATCGCCGGCGCGCCGGGGGAGCGAGCTCGTTTCCGGCGCCCTGCGGCGGCGGCGGCCGATCCGCCCCGCCTCGCGGCCCTGTTCGCCAGGGCGTCCTGCGAGGTTGCGCTCGCGACCTCGAAGCTAGGAGTGGCGCTGGGACGGTGGCGCATGGGCCACCAGATCCATTCGCGCCTCGGGGCTCTGCGGCGAAGCGCGCGGGCAGCACGGCCGCGCAGTGCACGGTGCAGCCTTGTTCTTCACACTTTTCTGCCAGCGCCGCGCAGCCCGCGACGCGCCGGCGAGCGAGCCACCCGCCGACCGAGCAGCTCCGAGCGCGGCGGCCCTCCGGGTCCAGCGGCGCGCCGCAGACGCTGCCGCCCGGGCGCCGGCGCTGGCAGAGCCCAACGCAGAAGGGCAGGTCGAGGTTCAGCCAAACCTCCGTCGCGACGCCGAACTGCGCGTCAGCGTGGCAGCGGCAAGCTCGCGCGGGCGCCTGCAGCCAGCCGCTCGCCCCAGCGCCGCCAGCCGAGCGCAAGGCCGCAGCCGCGCCCGGGCCCTCGCCCGCCACCAAGCCAGCGACCAGGCGGGCAGCCGCAGCAAGTGGGGCCGAAGCCAGGGAGCGCTGCGTTGCCGCCAGGGCCTCGTCGCCCACCCAGGCGGTCGCGTCCTCCAGCGCTGTCTGTAGCGCGGCGGCGGCCGACGGGAGGCAGCAGCGCGCCCGGGGGCCCAGGGCGGCCAGGGCGCTCGAGGCCGCGAGGCCCAGCCGGAGCAGGCAGCGCGGCAAGCAGCGCGCGCCGCCGGCGCCGTCAGCTCTGCGCTCTGTAGCCTCGAGCCTCCGTCTCGTCCGCTCAGGAAGAGCTGCTTGCGCAAGAACCGGGCGCGTTTCTGCGCCAGGGCCGCCACCTCGGGACCGCCTTCGGGAAGCAGACTGCCCGCGGCCAGGGCGGCCGCGGGGGCACCGGGCACGCCCGCCGCGGAGGGCCTTCCGCGACGGAGCACCAGCGCCCGAGGCGCACCTCCCGCCTGCCAGGGAGCGAGGCGCAAACGCCTCCTCGGCGAGCTGCACGGCGGCGGTGGCGCAGATCACGCCCAGGTCGTCCCGGCGGCTGCAGCGCCCCGCGCCCGCGCGCGCCGCCCAATCGACTTCGCCGGTCACCCTCTTGCAGCAGAACGGGAAGTCCTGGCCCGTGAGGGCGTCTCCCTGGTCTCCACCGAACTCCTTGGGCGGGTTCTCGCGCCGTCTCTGGCCACGCGCACGTGCGCGGCGTCGGCGCTGACGCGGACCCGGGGGAGCACGTCAGGGACCAGCTCGCGGACCGCTCTCGCAACCGATTCTCGGCTGAACTCGTTGCGGGCGTTACTCACGTCAAGGCTATGGTTGCATCAGCCCGACCGGCTGTCGAGTCCAGCAAGGCTGGACCTCGCGCGTGCGCTCGGCCCCGCGCGCGCCCCCAACAGAGCACTCTGTCACTCCGAACGCCGCCCGCCACTTTGCTGCGGAACACACGGCTCGCAGCTTTGGAGGCGGCCCTCCCGTGGAAGTTGCCCAACGCCAGGGGCCGCACCTTGTTCGGACCCTCCCGGTCGCCGGACAGGATCCGCGCAGACAGCCACGGCTCGTGCGCTTCTCCCGCGGCTCGCCCCAGCTGGAGGTGGAGGAACACTTGCGCGCAGCTCTCCCACGCTTCGGAGTACCCAGGCATCCACGACCAGCGTTCGCCTCGGGCGCCGCCGGGGCCAGCGCCCCTGTTCCGAGGAGCGTGGAGGTACGCCTGGCCCAACTCGCACAGGAAGCGGTCGTTGTCCTCGTCTCTGGGCATGCCCAGTGGGAGCGCTGGTTGCGAAGCGGCCTGCGGGAACGGGGCCGGAAGGCGGCGCTTGGCTTCCGCGTCTGGAATCTGGCGCCAGGGGGGCCCTGCAATTACCCGGCAAGGTGCGCGCAGACTCTGGAGAAGCTGGTCAAACTGCATCAGCTTGTCGGTGCTCGTGCCCGTGAGGCCGATGCCCGCCGTGATGTATACCCACGCAACCGTGATAACCTGGCCCCAAGTCTTCAATTTGCTAGCAACCTGATCTTCGAAATCTACACCCATATGCCAAATGGCATCTGGCTTGCCCAACAAGCGCAAAACCAGCTGCTGGTTAGGCTTGTTGGCAAAATGGCAAAAATACTGAAGCGTACAACTCTTGTTCACACCCGCTGAAATGTCTGCCGCCCGCTTGGTACCACTTGCTGCATATGAATGTGCCGCGACCGCGTGATACCCCACACGGCCCCACTCCTGCAGGACTTCACGTCGTTCCCCAGGCAAGAGGTGCAACTCTGGAGAAATGCGGGCATCGTGATCAAATTCCGTTGGCAAGCCTTTCGGCGGAAAGCATCACCCTGAGAGGTTCCAAAATACAAATGCTTCACACGTTGAGCCACAACAACAAGAGCGTGACCCTTCATCCTGCCCATTGCTGGCACCCGTGAAGGACCTCGCCAGCTGCTCGACCTCGCGCTCGAGGCGGGCCTGCTGCAGATTCAGATCGCCCTTTCTCGCCCGTCGCAACAGGCTGGGGAGACGGCTTTGACTGACCAGCCATTGGGACATGACCTGGACGGCCAGCTCCCGATGCGGGGACCTCACCTGCAGAGCCCGAGCCAGGAGCTGCACCCCCTTCTGGTACCTTTCGTTTCTTCGTGGCTTTCTCCAAGACCTCTTGAAGCTGGGCCTTGTCCTTATCGATATTGACCTGGGGGGTACCGTAGGACGCTCTGACCGCCTCGGGCAGGGCCTTCTGCACGGTACCCCTGGCGTCGCTGAGAATAGTTGGATCGTCACCCTGTACCTCAGAACCTTTCAACTATGACTCAAACTTGATCTCCAATTCAAACTGGCCATCCAGGATCTGCTGTACGTCCACCGACGCCGCATTGCATGGGGTAGGTAGAGCCTCTGATAAAAAAAGAGCTGCTTAGGTGCTGCGATCTCCTCCGATTCTGCTCTTCAAGGTTTCGGTTTGCATGATCCACGCAGCGTTGCGCTGCTCGAGATGCTTCTTGGCACGACGGGCTCGAGCCGACCCCTGCTGCAGGCCTTGTCCTGGCTGAATGGGAGGCTTGGAAGGCGGCACATCGAGGCTTGCAAGAGCCCCTGAGCTGCCTGCTGGGAATGTGAGGGCAAGAGCGCGGCCAAATGTCTGATTTGCTCCATTGAAGATGCCCCGCTTGCTGGCTGGCCACGCCCACACACATGCCCAGAAGGAAGAGGAAAAACAACGTCATTGGACGGACCTGGAAGAGCTTCTTCCCGCAGAAGCTACACCCGACCATGGGCCCACCCCTGCGATGTTCCCACCACATCTCTCTCCACATCATTTCTCCTGCTGCTGCTCCTCCTTTTCTCTTCCCTCCCTTCCTTCCTTCCTCCCTCCCTCATGCCCCCCGCCCATTATTGCGCTCCTTCCAACTTCGGGCTCTTTCTCCTGCACGCATCATTCACACACCGCGTTGCCCTCCCTGGGAGACCATGTGGATGAGCCGCTGCCGATTCGCGGCGCTCAACTGCGTGGCGGTGGGCATCTCCTTAGGGGCACTGGACGTCCCATCCCGCACTCCCCGCCTTGTTCTCATCATCACTGCTACCACCACCACCTCCACCACCTCCTACAAAACCAGCAGCAGCAGTACCGTCATCATCATCATCATCATCATCATCATCATCATCATCATCATCATCATCATCATCATCGTCGTCATCATCATCATCATCATCAGCAGCAGCATCCACCAACACCAACAGCATCATCAGCAACAACATCAACATCAACATCATCATCAGCATCACGTCGTCATGGTACCATCATCAGCACAGTCATGATCGACAGCAGCATCATCATCGTCATCATCCATCGCCATCGTCAACATCATCGCAGCAGCATCATCATCGTCATCAACACCTGCAGATTCGCCTGCCAGCATCAGCAGCAGCATCAGCAGCAGCAACAACATCATCACCAGCATCGTCACCGGCGACCGCATCGTCATCATTAGCATCAGCATCAGCAGCAGCATTTATAATCATCTACATGGTCAGCATCAGCAGCATCAGCATCAGCAGCATCAGCATCAGCAGCATCAGCATCAGCATCAGCATCATCATCACCATCAGCATCATCATCATCGTCATCATCCTTCCCCGCATCAGCGTCATCATCAGCATTACCATCACCACCACCATCATCACCATCATCATCATCAGCAACAGCATCACCATCATCATGTTCATCCTATCTCGACCTCTAGACACAATGCGACGTTATTGGCTTGTCCTGTGACCCAGCGTGGTGAAGTACGTAACAAACCAATGTGACACATATGTGTTAGTGTCCCATACGTGGCCTACATGATCGACAGCAAACATGTGCAAACATAACATCAGTCTTCCCCGCATTGCCCTGCCATCAGTACGAGGAGGATGAACGGGGAGTTGATGAAACCCGCTTGGAGACGAGGCCAGGGCCTGCCACAAGATTTACCCTAATTACAGGGACCTCCTGGAGAACCAGCACCGGGCCCAGCTGGAGACGGAGGCACGCAGGTCGGAGCAGATGATCGAGGACAGGCCAGCCAGTAGGCTGGTCAAGCAAGCAGGTATAGAAAACAAGAACATGTGTGAACGCTTGGAGGTCTGCGCGGAGTTCCTGGGTTCGCGCTGACCCCCCTCCCCACACCCCTGACGGCGTACCTGGCGCCACCCCCAGCGCGCTCAGGGTGTGGGGAGGGCGGGTCAGCGCCGACCCAAGGAATCCGCGTGGACCCCCGCCAGTGAATGTTTATGCAACTGCGAAGGGGTTGACGACTTCTTTCTTTCGCAGAAAAGATCGTCCAATTCGTCTCACGACAGCTCAAGCAAGCCACCTTTTCGCAGAGATCAACCGATCTCGGGCAGAGGTCAACGCGCGACCTTCGGAAGGTAGTCAGCTAAAGGACCACAATGCTTGGATTGGGAGTTACCTTTGGGTTGCGTTCCAAACAAGCTGCACATGGCCCCACGCCATCATATTCCACGCGTTAGTGTGCATGCTGCGAATTGCTCACATACTCCGATCACTAACTTTAGCCAAGTCACGGATATGAAGGAGAGGCTTCATGATTCGAAAGACTTGGCAGGAGCACAGCTGCATGATTGGGTGGGCAGTCGGGCCTGATGCGGCCATTTGGCGGTCCGTTGCTTTCCCCTTACCCTCCCCCTCCCTCCCTTCCCCTCCCTCCCTCTTGGCCATCCTCTGCTCCCGTACTCATCCTCTGATATCGACACTCCCCTTCCTCGCACCCTCCGGCACCCACCACCCCACCTCCCCGTCCTCTCGACACATTCCTTACATGTCTCCGCCCTCCCCTCGACCTCCCCTTTCCCACCTGCCTCCCCTCTCCTCCCCTCGCCCTCCCCCCACACTCGGCCTTCCCGGGCTTTCGGTGCAGGACCCAGCCACGCTTGAAACCAGGGACACGACGTCCCGTCGCCGACACGGGTGGGGGCGACGAACTCCAGAAATTTGCCCCCGTCCTCCGCCCTCCTCTTCGTCCCTTTCCTCATCCCCCTCATCCTTGTCCCTCTCTTCGACGTGACCGTCGTCCTCGTCGTAGCCAGTCCTGCCAACGCTCCCATACTCTTCATCATGCCCCTCGCTTTCCCCATCACTCCTCGTCTTGTTCATAATCATCCTGACCGCCCTTCTCATCGCCACAGGCTTGCCACCGCTTTCGCCCTCCTCTGACCTGATAGAGCCCGCCGCTGTACACCAGGAAATCGTCCATCAAGAAGATCGGCGCCGAAACCGGGCCGTTCAGGAAGACCTCGCGCGCAGGGAGGAACAAGAGAAGCGAGTGGCGGAGGACCAGGAGGATGCGGAAAACAGGGCGGAAGATAAGTGGGCAGAAGAGGAAGAGGGGGGGGGAGGACGACGAGATCCGAGCCAGCCGACAAAGTCGTTAAAAGCAGCAGGAGGAGGGGGAGGAGGAGGAGGAGGAGGAGGAGGACGAGGAACAGGAGGAGAAGGAGGAGGAGGCCGACAAAGACAAGGAGATGCAGCAGCCGCAGGAGTGCTTCGTCCGCTGCCGCCTCCTCCTCCTCCTCCTCCTCCTCCTCCTCTTTCTGCTACCCCTCCTCCTCCCCCTCCCCCTCCTGCCCCTCATCCTCCCCCTCCCTCCTCCCCTCCTCCGCCTCCTCTCTCCTCTCCTCCTCCTCCTCCTCCTCCTCCTCCTCCTCCTCCTCCTCCTCCCCTTTCTTTTCAAACAACTCCCCCGGGAGGGCGGGCAAGGCGTTTCGCCTACGATTTCCTCGCCATGTACGATCCTGGAGCTTGAAACGTCCAACAATTTCGCGGATAGAGGGCGGGTCATTTTCAAAAAGTGGCTCTCGTCTCAGCGCCGCGCACATCCGTCAAAGGTTGCAACAGTTTCACGGATGGAGAGCGGGTCGTTGTCAAACTGAAGTTTTCGCCTTAGCGCCAGGCACATTCGTCTTAAAAGTGTGTATCAGCTTCACGTGTGGAGAGCGGGTGGTGTTCAAGATGTGGCTCTCGCCCACATTCGTCTGTTCAGAATGTGGCTCTCACCTTAGCGCCACCCACATATTTGGGAGAAGTTCTGCAACCAGTTCAAGGAATCGTATGGCCGTTGTATCAGGCACTGTGCCCTGGTAGTACTTAGAATAGCCAAGGCCTAACAGTCACGTTGGTTCGCGGGGTTGAAATGCCAGGAACGGTTTGGTTAAAAGAATTTTGGAATTGCCAGGGCGGAGCGGTCACGTTGGTCCGCGGCGCTGAAGTCCCAGTAACTGTGTTCTGGCAGGCTTGAGGATTCTCAGACGGTTGTCCTCTAGTGGGCCACTTCCCACATTGAGAAAATCTAGGGACCTATGAAGAAGAAATGTCGAGGGAGGGTGAACTGCAACATCGTGATGCGCCCCGGGTGTACACCGGACTCACTTCTATAGCGCTCACTTCTATAGTGCTCACTTTGAAATTGTGGTCCGGAGGGGGCCGCACATGCAGGCACATGCCGCACAGTCGCATGCACATGCCCATGCAAATATACAAAAGCCTCAACAGCATTGCCGCACATGCGCGCACATGCCACACCGTCCGACGCACAGTCGGATGCACGGTCAAGCAAAACTCTGAAAGCATAGACGCACATGCCCGCACATGCCGCAGAGATGTCGCAGGCGATAGTGGCCTGACCACCTGAGCTCGGGGCATTTCGCAACCCAGAGTTCCGAGGATGTCTCAGGCAAGCGTGGCCGGATCACCATGGGGCAGGGCATCTTGGAAACCAGAGTGGCGAGGATGTCGCTGGTCAAGGTGACCAGACGACCATGGGGCAGGACACCTCCGAGGTCTGAGTTGTGAGGATGTCTCAAGCGAAAGTGGCCTGACCACCATGGGGCAAGAGATCTCTGAGGTCAGAGTTGCGAGGATGTCACTGGGGAGAGTGGTCTGACCACCTCAGCCCAGGGCATCTCGGAGCCCAGAGTTGCGAGGATGTCTCAGGCAGGACTGGCCTGACCACCTGCTCAGGGCATCTCAGAACCCAGAGTTGCGAGGGTCTCAGGCGAAAAAGGCCGAGACACTATGGAGCAGGGCATCATTGAGGTCAGAGTTGCGAGGATGTCTCAGGCAAAAGTGGCCTGAACAGCTCAACTCAGGGCATCTCGGGCGAGGATGTCTAAAGCGAAAGTGGTCTAACCACCTCAACTCAGGGCGTCTCGGAACCCAGAGTTCCGAGGATGTCTCAGGCGAAAGGGGCCGAGACACTATCGAGCAGGGCATCATTGAGATCAGGGTTGCGAGGATGTCTCAGGCGACAGTGGCTGACCACCTCAGCTCGGGGCATATCGGAATCGAGACTTGCGAGGATGTCTCAGGCGACCGTGGCCTGACCAGCATGGGGCAGGAGATCTCTGAGGTCAGAGTTGCGAGGATGTCTCAGGCGAAAGTGGTCTAACCACCTCAGCTCAGGGCGTCTCGAAACCCAGAGTCCCGAGGATGTCTCAAGCGAAAGTGGCCGGGCCACCATGGGGCAGGGCATCTCCGAGACCAGAGTTGCGAGGATGTCTCAGGCGAAAGTGGCCAGATCACTTCATGTCAAAGCACGTCGGCCTCTAAATTGCCGACGACGTCTCACGCGGAACTGGCCGGACGCGAACGCGCCGGCGTCCGGAGACGAACGCCGGCCCCGGCATTCTTGCACGTCCCGCACATGCACTGCACAGGTACGCACAGTATTCGCACAGGCCGAGCTCGCCGGTGGCCGAGCCAGGCCAGCGATTCCGAGATTCCCTGAGCTCGGGCCGTCAAGCCACTTTCGCCTGAGACATCCTCGCAACTCTCACCTCCTCCTCCTCCTCCTCCTTCTCCTCTCTGGCCAGTCCTCCTCCGCCCCCCCCTCCTCCTCCTCCATCCCTCTTCTCCTCGCTCAGCTCGGGCTCCTCCTCTCTTTTCTCCTCTGGCCGACAGCTCCGCATGACATGTGCAGGCAGCGCGCGCTTCGCCGCCCTGCCTCCGCGGGCCCGCCCCCTCCCCATCCACCTCCCCCCCCCCCATCCCTGCTTCTCCGGCCGAGCTGAGAAGGCGCGCGGGAGAGTATTTTATAGGCGGGCGCGCCACCGCCAGCTCACGAACCGGGCGAATAACCGCCCCCGCCAGCAGCGGGCGAGTCTAAACGCACTACAAACTCTTTCAGGAAGCCCTGGCACGCCCCAGGTTAGCTCTGCGAAGGCCAGGAGGCATTGGAGGCACAGGGGTCCCAGACAGCTCCTAGGGCATGAGCGTGCATGTGCATTGGGATGTGCACGCATGTGCGCCCGCGCGCTTCACCGCATGTGCGTGCATGTGCGGGCCCGCGCGGCCTCCCGAAGAGAGGTTGCGCAGGCATGTGCGTGCATGTGCCGATGACAGATCTGCGATTCTCGAACACCTCCCACATGTGCAGGCATGTGCGCGCATGTGCGTCGGACTGTGCGTGCATGTGCGTATGAGGGATACATCAAAACACAGCGCACATGCCCCCGCACATGCCCGGGCACGACGTGCACAGTAGGAAGTCCATCCAAGCAGGACCGCACAGGCCTGGCACATGACTGGCACATGCCGCGCACATGCGCGCACATGACAGCGCAAAAACGGCCGCACATACACCCGCCCAGGGGTATAGATGTGAGTGCGGTGTACACTGCTCATGCTCCTCCTCCTCTTGCTCCTCCTCCACCTCCTTCTTCTCTTGATCCTCCCCCATCATCCTCTCCTGCCCGTCCCCCTCTCTCTGCCTCATCATCCTCTTTGGAGCCTGTGCCGCACCCGACTGAATTCAAGCGCGAACGACTGTTGGTCGGAGCGCTTAGCGGCGAACGCCCAAAAAACAACGGGGCGAGCGAAGTTAAGCTCGCCCGAATCTGAGCGACGCGTGAAGGCCAGCTACGCCTTCTTCGTCGCGTGTGTAGCACAGGTTCAACACACTCCAGCTTAGCCTCCGAACGGCCCTGGCTGGGCTCTGGAAGGCGCTGCATGCCTAGAACCCTGACTTGAGACTCCAACGCATGAACCCCATGGGCATCCGCAATAACCCCACTGACTTGGACAAGAGTACTCCGCATTTCCTCTGATACTCGAAGCAGAGCTTCTGGAATCAACCAAAAATCGTTGGGGAACACTTAGGGATGACCAAAAGAATCGCAGGGATGCTCGGGAACCCTGAGCATGTAGGTCCGTAACAATCCAAAAGACTTCTTCCAGAATCCTGCGGGAATCCCACGGAATCCTGTAGGATGTGCCCTGGAATACTGAGCTCATCCTTTAGAGTCCTAAGGATCACAGGGAGCCTGAGCATGTCCTCGTCCTGGAACTGAGGACGATTCCTGCAGCGAGCTTATCCCTCGCAGAGGACTCATCCTGCATGTGGCACGCATCCACAAATCAACACCGGTAGCATTCACTCACCTAACCCGCCCTCCCAAGCGGAAACAGCGCGCGGCGCTGCTGACGAATTTGGGCGGCGACACAACCAGTCGCAAGCCTGAGGACCTGGTCGATCTTCGTTTTTCTTCACCGATCAATGCCGACCGAAACGCGATTCGTCCGAGGGTGTTGATGCGTTCCTCCTTTCAATGTGGCCGCTCTGGAAAAAACGAACTCTTTACACGGGGATCCTCAGGGGGCGGAGATCCTCAGGACACCCTGAAGGACCCTGCAAGATTTCGTCAAACGCATTCCGCGGCAGTCGCCACCCTCCAGAGACTCGAGGTGCCGCCCGCGCAACTTCCCGGCGCGAGATTCCCGCCGGTGCGCGAGCGCGCATCAGGTCGCGCAACGAGACGCCACTCCCGCAGCGGAGCGACTCTGCACTGGTTACCGGCGACGCGGAGTCCCCAGTCGCGCTGCGAGGACTGCGAGCACCGCCCGATTAACACGCCCGCCTGCCTCCCGCAGTCCGCCAGCGTAGCCTTGCTGACGGACCGCTCCTCGCGGCTGCCCCGCAACGCCCCCCGCTGGCGCGCGGCAGCCGCGCGCGGGACAGGCGCTGCCAGGATGCCCGCTCCAGCAGCCAGGGGGGCGGGCCGGGGGGGCGCCGGGCGCCCCGCTGGCAACGGGGGCTTGCTGGAGCGGGCCCGCCCCCCCCTGCCGCCCCCCTGGCCGTGGGGGCGAGGCAGTCACCCAAAGCAGCAACCACCTCGGACTCGACCGCTCTGATGCATGGAGAGCCACGCGAAATGCCGCCCGCGGGGTCGAGCTCGCCGCGAGCCCACCCGGCGACGACGCGCAACCGACAGGCGAGGGCGTGGGCGCAGATCTCCCGCAAGACGCTGCGCCGCGGCGGCGACGACCCGCTGCCCCTGCCGATCGCGGCGACGAGCGACGCGTCGTCGACCAGGCGCGCGATCGCCCCCCCGCAGACATCGGCCGACCAGAGCTGGCGGCGGAGAGCAGAGGCCACCGCCAGCCCCTCGGCGCGGCAAACGTCGAAGAAGACCCTCCACGGAACGAAGCGCGCGATAGCCCGGCCGTCGCCGACGAGAAGGTCGGGGTCGACTTCGTCAGAAGACTCGCCCCAGACCTTGGCCCCCTCGGACGGCAGCCTGCCAAGATCGCGCAGCGCAGACGCAGCATCGGCCGCGCCCAGGGGGCGCTCTCGAGCGCGGGCGGACTCCTCGCATAGGCGTCCTCATCTCTCCGCGACGCGGCCGATATGCGCGGCCACTTCCGGGTCGCATCGGCGGCGGCGCACCCCGCAGCCCCGGCCCGAAGCGTCGCTGGCGGCGATCTCTCGTCGCGCCAGTCAGCATCGGCGAAGGCGGCGAAGAGGGGCGGCAGCGAGCACGCGCGCCGGAGCTCGCGGCGCACGGCGGGCCAGAAGGGCAGGGCCTCGCCCCTGGCGGCCTGGATGAAGGCGCAGGCGGAGTCGAGGATGGCCAGGGGGCACCGCTTGAGCAGCATGACCCCAGCGCAGTGCCCAACGACGATCTCCCGGATGGGCCCTCGCACCGTTCGGCGACGGAGGAGCTCCTCGATGGCGCGGCGCAGCCGCCAGGCGCGGCGGGCGGAGACACGCGGCGCCGAATGGTGGCGCCCGTCGAAGTCAGGGTCGACGAAGCTGGCGCCCCGCGCGGCGTCGACCGGCTCGTGGACGACGAAGCAGAGGGAGGAGAGCTCGCGCTCGACCTTGGGCCGCCGCCTGCACCTTGGCGCGCTGCGAACCAGCCGCGATTTAGTTGTCGACGTAGGCTGGGCCGGCGGCGGGGAGCTTGGGCCCCAGCCTGACACCCAAGCTGCGGTCTCGCACCTGCCGGGCGGGCACGACGCGCGCTTGGGCGAGCGCAGCCTCGGAGACCGACTGGCAAAGATGCAGTGCCCAACCCGCCCCATGGGGGGGGTCGCGAACTCGCGGAGCAATCCGTCGGACTCGTGAACCGCGAAGCTAACGACATGAGAGACGCCCGCAAGGCCCGCCCGCACGGGCGGCACGGAGAAGTACTCGCAGAGGCCCTCGAGGAAACGCATGCGTAAAGCGTTCGATATGTCGCCGCCGCTGAACCACGCGCCCCCGCCGGCCTGAGTCTCCACGCGGGCGAACGCGCCGCCGCTGGGCAGCTCGGCGCAGGGCGGCGGCTCGAAGTGGGCGTTGCTGACGCGCGCGCGCGCCGGCGAGGCGCTGCTGCCCCGACTTCTTAGCCGCGACGAAGACCCCCTGGGGCCCCCAGCGGCAGCGGCGAGCAGGACAGACACGCAGCATGCCACGCTGCCGCAACTCGGCGATGAACTCGCCGCAGGTGGCGGGATGGCGTAGTTTAGGATCGATGGGGGGCTGAGCAAGTCCGAGGTCTCGACGAAGAGCCGCGGCCTCCGCCAGCGGGCGAAGCAGGAGGGCCTTCCAATCGCGCATGAACGGTTAGCCTCCAATATGACGCCCCCCAACGCGACGGGCGCCGTGCCGCCTGATAGCCAGGGCGCGAGGCCCTTGCCGCGGGAAACCACGTCGCCCCGCCCCGTGGAGTAGAGCGGGCAACTGGAGCAAACGTCTGAGAGGGCGCGCTTGCGGGAGATGTCAGAGGGCGGTCCGCCGAACTTCACGCATTGATCAGCGATGCAGCCCAAGGACTGACGCTGCAAAACCGCAAGTCGCTTCCGTAGCGGAAGCGCCCCGCCCCGGCCAGCCAGTCGAGCGCCTCGACGCCGTCGCTGGCCCAGTCGAGGCGAGCCCGCGCGGCGGCGCCCGCACCAGCGAGATGGGGGTCGTCATCAGGAAGGCGCGGAAGCGGGAGGACGTCTCGCTGACGACTGACGGCCACGGGGAGGGGACCACGGCGCCAGGAGAGAGGGGCCAGGAAGGGGGCCCTCCGGGATGGCCAGATCCCCGGCGGCCGCTGCGAGCACCGCGGAGCAGGAGGGCTAGGCCTCGGCAGCCTTGCCCGAGCCGCCGCCGCCGCCAGCTGGTGGACGGAGCAGCTGCCGCTCCTCACGCGCCTCGCGGCGCCCCTTGCGATGGCGGACTCGGAGACCACCCGTTTCGGAATCGCGTCGGCCAGGGCGGGCGCGACCATGAGCACTCGCATGGACTGCGCACCCTCGAAGAAGAACTGCTCGTCGCCACCGCCGCCCAGGGGCTGCGAGCTGACCAGCTTGTCCTTGCAACGTTCCCCGCAGAGCTGCAGCAGGAGCGCGACGTGCTTCATGGAGGCCACATTGGAGCCGTCGACTGGCCATTCGGTTGGGCGACCTGCACGATCTTCGAAAACTTACGATGCATCGACGCGATAGGGTCGTCAGGCGCCGCCGCGGGTCCCCAGGCAGCCTTTAAAACGGGGCCGTGTCCCATCGGATACCCGCCGTTCTCGGACCTGGTAGGCGGCCACCCAGCGGCAGGCACAAAGTCCAGGCACTGGCCAGGCTGGGTAAGAAGTCAGGCGCGTGAAATGCAAACTGTCTCGATACTCTCGATATCGCTGCCCCTGGCCGCCATAGGCGGTGGCGAGCGCGCGGAAATCACCAGCGGCGGCAGCCGCGCCGCCGTCTGCAGCCGCGAGCCCGGCGGAGGCAGCGAGGTCAGGACCTGCACCAGGGGGGCCAGCCACCAGCGCCGCGAGCCCAGCGAGCAACTCCGCCACCACCAGCAGCAGCAGGGGCAGGCCCAAGGCCCGCCGGGGGCTGGTCGTGCTCCGCGAGCTTCGCGGCGCCGACCGCACAGGCTCGGGCGAGCTGGGCGACCGTCGGCGCCGCGGCGAAGTCGCACCGTCGAATGCCGGGCGGCATGGCGGCACCCATCGGCGCGGCGGCAGCTCCCCCCTCCTTGCACCAGTTGCGGATGTCCGCGTTCTCTGGGTCGCACTCCTGTGACGTACATGTCAATGCCGGTGAGGCCCACCACGATGCTTTGTGCGCCAGCCGGGGAGGCGGCTCGTCATATTCCACCCAAATATCATCGCCCACGGCCATCATGAAAAGCAGCTGAGACCTTCGACGCGGGGCGGGCGCCGATCAGGCGAGTCAACGCACACAGGCTGCTGTGCGGTCGAGGTGGCCACGCCGTCGATGGCGGGCCGCGCCGCGCGCTGCGCGCAGCGCCAGCAACAGGGCCCAGCGGGCAAGCTCGGAGGCCAGGAGCAGCAGGCCGCCGATCGCGCCCTCCCAGGCCAGAGAGGGGCGATGCCCGTCGGCCGCCTCGCACGGGGGGCAGGGCGGGCAAGGCGAGGGGCAGGCGCGGCTGGCCTCCCTCGCGTCCAGGGTGGCCGCCAGGCAATCCGCCAGCGGCACCTGGACCCCGGCGGCCTCATCCGGCGCCAGGAACGGGCCTGCCTCGGGCAGCGGGGGCGGCGCCGCCGCCAGAGGAAGGGCGGCGGGCGCCAGTGGGGCCGCGGGCGCCGCCGGGAGCCACCAGTGCGCCAGGACCAGCAAAACGCAATTGCTCGCGAGCGGGAGGCCAAGCCCGGTGCCACCGAGGCGCATCCGGGGGAGGGCCTCACCCTCCAGAAAAAGACTTGAGCAGGCGCGGTTGCGGCGCGACCGCGACGGCCCTCGGTTTCAAAGGAGATGAGATGTGCAAGACACTGCCATCATCCTCCTCATCCTCCTCATCGTCACCACCATCATCATCATCATCATCATCATCATCATCATCATCATCATCATCATCATCATCATCATCATCATCATCATCATCATCATCATCGTCATCATCATCATCATCATCATCATCATCATCATCATCATCATCATCATCATCATCATCATCATCATCATCATCATCATCATCATCATCATCATCATCATCATCATCATCATCATCAGCATCATCATCATCATCATCAGCATCATCATCATCATCATCATCACCATCACCATCACCATCACCATCACCATCACCATCATCATCATCATCATCATCAGCATCATCAGCATCATCAGCATTACCACCACCACCACCCTTCACCCTCCTTCTACTCCTCCTCCTCCTCCTCCTCCTCATTATTCTCCTTCTCGTCGTCGTCGTCGGCGTCGTCTTCCCTCTGCTCCCTTCACATAGTACCCATCCCCATCCTTCCCCCCCACCCCCTCCGCAAGCCAAGCGACCCCCCCCCCCTCTAGGAGGCCACCAACAATGATGCACCCACACCGAACCTGTGCCCAGGATGAGCATGCCCACAATCTGTGCATGCGCATAGATAGTGCCCTCCGACTCTCGCCCCTCCTGCTCCTCCCCCCATCGCCCCCCCTTTGGCCAGGAGAGCCCTGGAGACGAGGAGGGCCCATGACCTCTTCTCGGACGTCTACCTCGTTCGGCTACACGCAAGAGTGACACCAGGCAAGAGTAGCCTTTAGTGAGCAGTTTATGGGGGCGCTAGGTGGCCAAATCCAAGCACGCAAGCAACCACTCTCTCTCGCATCGCGCTCAGCGATCGGGGGGACCCCAGTGAGCTCGCACCCAAGGTCACTCTGGCGAGGGGTCACTCTTGCGTGTAGTCGACTCGTTCTGGACGAGGAGTGGGCGTGAAGAGCGCCCAGCGCCCTGGCTGAGCCCGTCGCTCTCCTGTGGCGCTCGGCCGGGCAGGCTCGGTCAGGGCCACTCTCCTTGGCCTGGGACCGAGGGCTCCCGGCGCAGCGGCACCGTCACCACGAGCCGCCTCGCCCCCCCCTCCCGGGCGGGACCTCCTTGCGGATGGCCGCCTCGTTGTTGAGGTGGCAGTGGGAGGCGGCCCTCAGGGACGCCCCGTCGGAGCACTTCGACTGGCGGGGTGGCGCCCGAAGGCCGACGGGCTTGGCGCGCGGTCGAGGGGGGAAGCCCCTGGGACGATGGACGAGGTATTGATCCATATGGACTCATACAGATGGCTCCATCAGAGGCCTCTTTGATGGGGTCCGAGCAGATGGGGGGTGGAAGATCGCGCTGCATCACCGATGCATCGCCGATGCATTCACGATGCATCGGCGACATCGGCAATGCATCCGCGCCGTCGGCGTAGAGAGAATCGGGCTCCACATCGAGCCGCATCGGCGATGCATCGGCGATGCGGCGCGATCGTCCGACCCCATCTATTCGGACCCCATCGAGGAGGCCTAGATCCATTGATCCAATGCTTGAAGTCCATGCGCTGGCGTCATGCTAAATCACGGTTGCACTTGCATGCTTACATGTGTACACATGTCTGTCGCTGATTCAACGGGCCACAAGCGCGCGCGTGGCGGCCCCAGACGAAAAATACCCCGGCAAGGTCCTGAGCGGGTCCGGGTCACGGATGTCTGAACTCATGGGCGCGGCCCTGGGGGCCCCCAGTGCGCATAACGGAGGCGCCAAGTAGGTGGCAGGCCCCACGGCCTCAGACAAGGGGGTGCAAGACGGTCCAAGATTTCTTCAAGACGGCCCACGAGGCGCCCAACACGGCCCAAGAGGGCTCCAAGAGAAATCAAAAAAAACCATGAGGCAAAACCGACGGGCCAAGAGGCAGGCGAAACCGCCCCAACTCAGCCCAAGAGGCTCCTATGACGGCCCCCAGACGGCCCAAGAGGACTCCAAGACGGCCCAGGAGGCCTCCCACGAGAGCTGCAGAAGCCCACAAGAAGGCCATAAATGCAGGATTCTAAACTTACATGTCGAATCTGCCCCGAAAGATGGCGCCCGAGCCCACCGACAGGCCCCTACGAAGCTCACGAGAGGCCCCAGGAAGCCAAAGGGCTACCACCAGGGGCTTTCAAGAGGCCGCAGGAGGTCACAAACATGCAGCCAAGAAGCCCCTCCGACGAGACCCCAAGAATCCTCCCATAAGGACGTCTGGCCCGCTGCCGCCAAGAAGCCTCCGAGAGGTTTCCGAAGATACCCCAAGAAGCCTCCCAAAGAGGCATTCGGTCAACGACCAACTCTGGTCCCAAGAATGCACCGAAAAGCAAACGAGCGCCCACCCGGCATTTGCGTTTACCACGGTCACACAAATACCTGCCCAATCGATACGACCAGACGGGCTCGCGGGAAAGATGACACTGTGCGGGCTGGCGGAACAGCCGAAACGAATAACCATGCACGCTGCATACACATGTACATATGTATATATACACATGCATACATACATACATACATACATACATACATACATACATACATACATACATATATATTCATATATATATATACACATATATATATATATAACGTACATACACACATACATACGTACATACAGACAGACCGGCATACTCACGGGCATGCATTCATATAATGTACAAGTGTTGGATGTACGTGAAACTATATACATGCCTCCATACATGCATGCATACATACAAACACACCGATAATCACACATATAGATGTGTCTATGTATCATTACAAAAAACGTAACATTGATACATGTTAAAACCTACCCCCTTCATACACACGGTATCTCAGCACCAGAAAAAAACGCTGGGTGGCGATGCTAGCCGGATGTAGCTTGAGCACCGTGCCAAACAACAAAAACATCCCCACGGGGTTGTTTTCAAAATCTAAGTTTAGCATCGGCGCTGCGCACAATCGCTATACATGTCTGCATGTGCTTCAAGGATTGACTGCAAGGTTGATTTCAAAATGTTGGTCTCGCCGTGGCGTAGGTTTTCTTCAACTGTGCACGAATATCACGGATTGAAGGCGGCTCTTTGTAAACCTAGCTCTCGCCGTAACGCCGCGCACACTCACTATAAAAATTACATGACACTCACGGATTGAAGGCGGCTCGGTTTCAAACAAATAAATCTCGCTTGAGCGCCGCGCGCATTCGATATATTCATGCATATATGTGTATAAACACACATATATATGTGTGAGTGTCCACGCATTTCACGGACTGCAGGCGGCTCGATTTGTGAAGAACTAGCTCTCGCTTTTGGCGCCGCGCACATTCACCGCGAGAGTTTGCGCGAGCTTCACGGATTGAAAAGCCCAGTTTCAAAATATGGCGTTCGCCTTAGCGACGCGCGCAGTCGTTCTTGCTGTTCCCCCAAAAACTCGCTTCACGGATTGAAAACGGCTCGTCTTCAAAATCTCGTTTTCGCACTGGCGCCGCGCACACCCGCTGTAAAACATTGCGCGAACTTCACGGATTGAGGGCGGGTCGTTTTCCGAATATAGCTCTCGCAGCACCGCCGCGCGCATTGGTGTTTTTCTGTGCTGTCAAAAAGTGCGCGAGCTTCGCGGATGGAGGGCGGTTCGGGTGCAAAATATAGCTCTCGCCTCATCGCCGCGCGCGGCGGCTTTTTAAACTGCCTGCGAGACTCACGGGTTGAAGGCGGTTCGCGTTTAAATTTTAGCCTTCGCGTTAATGCCGCGCACACGACGCTTGCCGATTGAAGGCGGCTCGGTTCTTCGATCCGGCCCTCGCTTTAGCGCCGCGCACATTGGAGTAAAAAACGGCGTGCGGATTTCACGGATTGAAGGCGGTTCGTTTTTTGTTTTAGCTGGCTCTCGCCTTTAGCGCCGCGCGCGTTCGCTATGAACATTTGCGCGGGCTTCACTGATTGAGGGCGACTAGTTTCAAAATGTAGCCATCGCCTTAGCGCCGCGCACATTCGTGTGTATGTGTGTTGATATGTCCATAAATATGTGTGTAGATGTATACACATATACATGTATAAAAGGTAGACGAGTTTCACGGAGTGAAGGCGGTTCGTTTTCAAATTTTCGTTTTCGCCATAGCGCAGCGCGCACTCGCTGTACAAAGTTCCGCGAATCGTACGGATTGGCGGCGGTTCGGTTTCAGAATATAGCTTTCGCCTCAGCGCCGCGCGCATTGGTTTTTAGAGCTGCGCACACGAAGGTCACGCATTGAACGCGGCTCGCCTTTTATCCCTAGGCCCTCGCTTTCGCCATAACGCCGCGCACATTCGCCACGGAAACTCACGCGGGTTTCACTGATTGCGGGCGGCTCGTGACGACGGCAGCCACACCTTCGCCTCGAAAGAAGAACGTCTGAGAGCACGGGTGCCCCAGGAACTCCTCAACACTAAAAACCGTTCCTCGGCTAAGCATTGAAAGCCGTTCCTCGGCCGAACGCTGCACGGCTCCCCCCCGCCCCCCATGTTCCTCCTCCGCGTTCCCCTCCTCCCTGTGCAATTTCACCATATGACAACTACTCACTACTTTCCTCTCCTCTCTGACACGGTCCAGAAAATATCCGGACCCCTTCCGCGTACTGTTTTTGCAAGCAGGATTCCCGCGAATGGGGTTTTCGTTTGGGTTTGTTTCAACCCGTTTATCCCGCCGAAGCGTTGGCCTCATCGCCGGGGTTCCACTCGTTCCGAAACGCGCTCCCGCTGCTGCGCTAGCTTCGTTTACCCGCTCCCGTTCATTCCGGAACGCGCTCCCGCTGCAGCGCTGGCCTCATTCCCGCGCTTCCGCTCAATCCGACCCGTGCTCCGTCTGCAGCGCTGGCGTCTTTTATTTACAGTGCCATGACACGGCACGGTTTCCGCCCCTTTAAAAATTAGCCAGACGAAGGACCCAACCATATGCAGGTGTGAAAACCGCAATTGTGATTCACTTTTACGGTGGTGATCCGTGTGAGGCAACGAACCGTGCTAGGGCTGTGCCGAGATGAGTGGCGTGGCACACAACGCGAACGAAAACGATGGATCTGAACACGTAGGGAGACCGAGCGCGGGTGAATCTGAGCGCGAACGCGTTTGACTGCGAATCTGCGTGCGAGCGAGTTTAGGTGCATGAGTGCGAGTATGACAAAGCATGGATTAACTGTATATGAATGTCAATCGTTTGGGAATGACTGCCTCTGAGCACTCGTGGCGCTGGGCGTGGCCGCCGCAAGGAGCTTCCCCGGGACTCCCCGACGGCGTCGCCCGCGCGCCGCGACGCCAATGTCGGCGCGCCCCCCCGAGAGGATCGCGCCCGCTTCCTCCCCTTCTTTGACTCCCTCTTTGCCCGCGCACTCAAAAGTCCAAGGCTACGGGCGCAGCGCAGCGCGGAGTCCCCGCGAAGCGCGCAGGTCGCCCCGGAGGAATCCCGGCGACGCGCGCGGGTCGTCCGCTGCGCGGAGCAAAGAGATCTAGCTGGCTGGCCGATAGCGGGCAAGGCTCCTGCCGCTGGGCAGAGCGACGACGGGCGAGCGAGGCGCTGGGCAGAACGCAGCGCGGAGTCCCCGCGACGCGCGCTGGTCGCCCCTAAGGGGCCCCAGCGACGCGCGCGACGACAGGCGAGCGAGGCGCTGGGCGGAACGCAGCGCGGAGTTCCTGCGACGCGCGCCGGTCGCCCCGAGAGGGCCCCAGCGACGCGCGCGGGCGGGCCGCTCCTCAGATCAAGCCTCGCGGATAAACTCGGTAATGGAGCGTTCCCTGGCGAGGGCCGTCGCCTCCCTCCTGCACCGTTTCGCGCGCGCAGCAAACTGCTCCAGCTGCTTCCGCAAGCCCTCCGGCGGCCCTGCCAGGAAGAACTCGCTGCGCGGCGCCGCGGACTGCGCCGCCGGCAAGACAAGGAATAGTAATAGCAATGGGAAGAAATTACGACTAGTAGGAGTAAAAAGGTTAGTATGCGTGGGTAGGTACGCAATGCAATCGCAATTATAATAGCGGCAGTTAGTACAAGCACCTGTGTCAAGTACTATTACATGTCAACTCCTCGAGGGAAGCTTGGATCCGAAGGTTCCATTTCCCTCCTCCAAACCGCACCCGCCTTATACAGTTCCAATCAAAACCCTCAACGGGAAAAGACTCTCGTCGACAGCCCTCGGGGCCGGCCTATCCCAAGGCATCGC